TTTTTTTTTTTCCGCGCATTAGCGATGAGCGCATCGCGCTCTACGCACCGCACTGCACATATGCACCGCAAGTATGATAAAATGTGTCATGAATCCTGGGCAGCTGAGCTGAGTGTGAGCTCAATATTCAATTTCACAACCAAATTTGTACTCAATTTTTTTTCCCCTAGTATTTTCAAATTTACAAAATCTTCAATTTCAACTTCACAATTGACTTGTTTAATGGAATTCCTTGCTTTTCCCCCCCAAAAAAAATAAAAAAAAATCAACTTCATGCATAACTTCTCAGAATGTAGCAACATACTTTTCTCCTCGTGCGAGCTGCAGTACACCCCGAAAGTACCTCCCCATCTGGACACACTGCCTCATCACTTGTTTATGCCCTAGCTACCCTTACTTCTTCGTTTGTTCGTTTCCTTCTTTCATTCATTCGTTTGTTTGTTCATGCTTCGTTCCTTCCTCACTATGTTCGTTTATTCCTTTGTCCGTCCAATCTTCCTTCCTCCCTTCCTTCCCTCCTTCCCTCCCCCTTCTTCTTCTTCTTCTTCTTCTTCTTCTGCTGCTGCTGCTGCTGCTGCTTCTCCTTCCTTCCTTCCTTCCTTCCTTCCTTCCTTCCTTCCTTCCTTCATTTCTTCATTCATTCCGTACTTCCTTGATTCATCCCTTCCTTCCTTCCTTCATTCATTTCTTCATTCATTCCTCCTTTCCTTCTTTCCTTCATTAATTCATTTATTCTGAAATTATTCATTCGTTCATTCATTTAGTGATCATTCAGTCAGGCAGCCAAGGGTTGGCAAAGTGCTAGGAAAGGGGGAGAGGGGGGAGGGGGAAGGGGCGCACATACCCCTCGAGCGACACCCAACACGATCTTCAATCGAGTCCGCCAGGGCAGTGGTTGTTTGTTCTGGTTAGCTGCCAATTGCCAATCGCCAATCGCAGAGAAGAAGTACGCCAATCAGGCCCCAAACACGAGTATTGAAAGGATTCGAGTGAGTGTGTGTACGCAGCTAATGAGTGGGAGGGATTTCCCATCCCATCTCTGCACACTTGCAAACAAACCTTCTAGAGTTCGGTAGCCTTGTTCCTCTATACTTGAAAAGGGAGAAAACAAAAAAGGGGGCTGCGAAAAACTACTTTGTAAGGTGTCCATACGTAGACACATGCACCAAGAATATGACTGCCCGAACAAGAGATCGCCTCACCCAGCTTGGTTAAAGAATACATGTCGCTAAAAGAGACTGAAAAATCGAAAACTCCACTTAAAGAGTGCCCGACAGCTGCATGGACAAAGCACCTTGACCATCGAGTTTACCACGTGGGTGTGTTGCTGGAAATATATCTTGCTCCCCCCACAGATCAGGAGGCGCGTCATTTGCCACCTGCCTGTCTGACATACACCAAGGTGGCTCCCTTCCACCAACAGATTCCCACAACTGCACAAACGTGTGAAAACATGTGTGTGTGTGTCTGTGGACTCTGTACCCATCCCCGAGAGAGAGAGAGAGAGAGAGAGAGAGAGAGAGAGAGAGAGAGAGAGAGAGAGAGAGAGAGAGAGAGAGATGTGATGATGAGGTGCATGGCTGCCTTGATAAAGGGACAGTCAGATGTGGATGGTCGTGGAGTGAACCCTATTTGGAATTGTGAAGAGTATTTGAAAGGGTTGCATACCAAAGAGATGGTCTTTCAATGTCCCATTGCAGATATATTCGTACACAAGCGCCTCTCGATCCTTCTCGCAGCAGTATCCGATAAGTCTAACAAGATGACGATGTCGCAGCATGGACAGTACCTCCACTTCCTGGATCCACACGTCCACCCATCCATCCAACGTCCACGAATCAGAAAAGGAGTTAAGCAATGTTCGACTCGTTCTTTGTTCCACAACAATAGCAACAAGAAGCAACACAGAAAATGCTGTTGCTTTTCCCACTTGGCAGCATTGGGGAGGAGGAGAAGCATCAACTCTCTCTCTCTCTCTCTCTCTCTCTCTCTCTCTCTCTCTCTCTCTCTCTCTCTCTCTCTCTCTCTCTCTCTCTCTCTCTCTCTCTC